TSAATTTCAAGTATGAAATTTATGGTAATATATTGGACTTAACTTATTATTACTTAATGTTAATGCYTTTTTCATTAGTAGTTTGTCATCATTAGAAAACATGATATTGTTGCCTTTTTGGCCCTTAATCTAAGATTAATTAATTAATATTTCGATGATAACAAACCTAATTTTTTATTGATAATTTTAGTGTTTTGAAGTGTCCTCGGTGTAGAGCTCGATACAACGATCCCAATGAATTTTAAATCAATTAAATCGGAGCTCTAACCAAAAGTTATGACCCAAATAAATTCAAAGAAAATATATCCATAAAGTAGATGATGTGACAGTTGAGTAATCTTAGTAAACTAACTAGAAAGTGACACGTGGTAAATGTGCTACCATAAAAAAGGAGGAATGAAAAATAAATAAAATGACAAAAACAATGATGGAAAAAWACACAACATATCATTTAATGAGGGCTGACAATGACATGACTATTTAAAAAAAATGATTAAATGAGTACACTAGACGTTGGAGAAATAAATGATGGGAAAAAAAAAACTAAATGATTAAATACACTAGACGTTGGAGAGAAGTATTATGTATATATTTTATTATTTATTTATTATCTTTAAAAACTAAATCTCCACCTTTTGCCAAATTGAGCATATAGCCAGCGATAATTAACAAATATCGTCAACTAAAAGGTTGTGAATTTGATCCCACCACATGTTGTATTTAAAATATATATATATATATATATATATATATATATATATATCCACACAATATGACACGACCCGTCCCAAGACACCTACTAGTCCTAGAATGAGTCGCGCCAACCACAAACCCAGACTAGCTACGAAGTCCATGGTCAACTTCTTTCTTAACTTTGACCTGATATTTGACTAATAAACTGTGAATGGATGCACAATCAAATAAAAATCTTTACAAAACAATCATTCTTACATCCATTCTAAATATTATTTTATATTGAAGGGTTCAGATAAAAACTTTATACAAACAACCACATCTATACATAATATCATGTAACTCTTGAACCACTTTGGGTGGTAGAAGCTGATCTACTTTCTCCTTAAAATTCAGAATCTCAAGTACTGCCTRGGGAAAAACAAATGATAAAGAGTGAGTTGGAAAGCTAAGTGAGTGGAAGGTTAATAGGAAAATAATTTCGTCAAATTTCTTTCATAAACAACTGAAAATTCAGTAAACTTTCTCAAGATCAAACTTGTAACAACAATTTCTTTTTAGGCAAACTAAAAAGACAACGCTCCCAAGTCCAGGATTTGGACCAGGATTTAGAATCCGGATTTGGCCTAATCACCTAGGCATTCCCCTGCGTCCCYTGCGGTCTAGTTACGCCAACTTCTCAACGTGCTCTAAAACATATTCTAAAACATATAAAAYATTCTTCTTTCATGTATCCATATTCTATTCTGGTCCACTGGCATAGAGTAATCTCAATACACACAGCAGAATAATTTTGGTCTACTAGCATAAAGCAATCTCAATACGCATAGCAAAATAATTCTCTCAACGCTCGGAGTCATATGGTCCCAAAGGCCTTCTATTTCTAGGTATACTATAAAAACACATTCATATAGTATACGGGTAATAACCTGGATACAATAACATGGTGGTTTGAAAAGTATTTTCAATCTCATAAACTATTCTACAATTCTTCTTTTCTTCTTTCTAAGAACTTTTCTAACTTTCTCACRTCATTTCTAAACTCTTTCATTCTAAAACATTTCATAAAACTCTAAAATCATTTATAAAATCTCTTTCTAAATAACATTTCATAACTTTCTCGAACAATTCWTGGAAATCATAAAACATTTCTAAATTCTATGAAACATTTCTAATTTCTCAAACAAACATATTTTCTTTCATTCTCATCAGAAAATGCTAAATCATACATAATATATATAATTTATCAGAAACTCTATTATAAATATCCAAAAAAATGTTTAGTAAAATAACCACCCACAAATTCCAATAATAATATCCAAAACATTTAGTAAAGTAACAACTCACAAATCCTTTAAACTAAGTCGTCCTTTGGGCAACTTCTGTCTGACTTGAAATATCGATCCATTGTCAAATCAATTCATGCTTTCATTCCAATATAATTTCAACATATTTTTATTTCCAATATAAATCACATTATGTTTCAAATTAATCTACATATCCAATTTTATATGTCATTTTCTCTCTTCATTAATAACTCACATATTCAATTCATAATTCATTCTCTTTCTTCCTTAAAACACTTCTTTCTCTCTCATAACACTTACAAGTGGGACCCCACCATTTACCATTCAATTTCTCTTTCTCTCGAACCACCACGTCCAACACACCTTTTTTATTTTTTTTACCCAATTTCTTTTATTTTTCTTATTTAATTTTAAACCACTAGTACTTCTTTTCTCTCTCTCTCTCTTTTTTAATTTCCTTATTATCTTTTTTTTTTACTAAAAAAAACAAACCGTCCTTACACAACATTTTTTCCCAACAACAATTTTCTCCCCATAGTTAATCAATTTTCAAACCTTCAATTTTTGTTCTAATTTCTTCATGAAGATTTCATTTTGAGAAATATTGTGCTTCTACTTTTATTTTTTTTATATTCATTTGAAGACTTTATTTAGTAAGATTTTTTCATACAAAATTTGTGAGTTAAATTTGTATATCTACTCTTTGAGGGAGTTTGTAAACTTGTTCTTTAAATTCAAAGTCTTGGAAGGGTTGTTCTTGAGCTCGAAAAAGAGTGTTAAGACGATTTGATCCTGAACCATAGAAATAATCAGGTTTGTACTTTTATTTTAGTGTTTTGAACCATAGAAACACAGAGTAACCGCGGTGGAGATTACGGCCGAGCTCAATACAATAATTCCAATGTCTTTTGAAGCAATTAAAGYGAAACTCTAATGAAAAAGTTATGACGAAACAAGTTCAAAAGAAATATATCCATAAAGTAGATGCCGTGGCGGCGGAGTAATCTCAGTTAACCAACTAGAAAGCGACACATGGTGAATGTGCGACTAGAAAAAAAGAGGAAAGAAAACATAACAAAATGAAAAATACATGATAGGAACAAAAACTTACGTTATCATTTAATGAGGGTAGACAATGGCATGACTATTTAAAAAAAAATTAATGATTAAATGAGTACACTGGATGAAAGGGAAAAATACATTTTTGGTCCCTGAGGTTTGGAGTATGTGTCAATTTGGTCCTTGAGGTTTCAAAATGAATATTTTTGATCCCTAAGATTTGGGGTATGTATCAATTTGGTCCTTAAGTTTCAAAATGAACACTTTTGGTCCCTAAAGTTTGAAATTTGGTCTAAATGGTCCTTAACCGTTATTTGATCGTTAGTTGACATAACGAAAAAATGACGTGGTAATTAATGAGTTACTGGACTTTTTTAATTTGTTTTTCAATTTGGTCCTAACTAGTCATTTGTTAATTGCTAGGTCATTTTTCTGTTAAGTCAACTAATGGTCAAACAACACTTAGGGGTCATTTAGAACAAATTTTCAAACTTTAGGGATCAAAAGTGTTCATTTTGAAAGTTAAAGGACCAAATTGACACCTAACCTAAACATCAAGGACCAAGAGTGTTCATTTTGAAACTTCATGGACCAAATTGACACCTACCCCAAACCTCAGAAATCAAAAATATATTTTTCCCAAAAAAAAAAATCTCCACACAACATTTTTTTCTCCTCCTGAAAAAAGAACATTGTACTGGTTGACTCTAAGCCGTGGAAAGAGTCGGGTTCTTGAATCGAATACCCAAAAGGCGCTTGGGGATTGGAGTAGACAGTTTTTGCGGAACCATTATAAATTTTCGGTATCATTTTTTCTAACATTTTCCTATTTAATTTTTGCGATTAATTTTTTCTTATCATAAATTGCATAAAATTAATTGCTAAAATTTATTTTTTATGTTTAGTGTCCATCTTTATATTAGAATTAGTTATGGGGCTTGAAATGCATTCCTAATTTATTAATTAATTTTTTWAAAAAATTATTTATTTGTAAAAAGTGTATTTATTTGTTTAAATTGGACTTACTAGATTAAGAAGTTTATTCATTAAATTTTATTCCCTCTTCTAGGATTGTCCTACCGATCCAACACAAAGTATGCTACATAATTGTATTTTGCTACGCTTCACATAAAATTCAATTTCTAACTTAAATATCGGAGTGTGTGTGGCTAGCACCACACCGRTGTGTATTCTTTTTATTCTGCAGGTTTTGTCGAATCTYTTTTATTTTAGAAGATTAATGCAAATTTATTAATTCTAATATGGTCAAATTTCTACATCAACACCAACATATTTCTTCATTTTTTATCTAGTTTTTTTTATAAGATTTTAAAAATCTAATTTACAAAAAAATAGTTTTCAAAAACTTGACGTAAATTTCAAACGTGTTTGGAATGATGCTTCCCTCACATGTAGTTTGTCCTTTGCGCACCAAGGGAAAATAAAAAAGCCGAATGAGGAATATATGTATATATGTATATTTATATATTTATATTATTTATGACTGAAAAGTAAGATATATTTTTACATACTCACAGCTCTGTTAAAGTACTTATTTGAACAAGTTTACATGACCATCATTCTTACCTGTTCAAATTTATTAATCAACCAACTAATAACTTCACAGTAACCCAATTTTCCTACTAACAAGTTATTTTTAATAATTTAATTTTTTGATGGAATCACTTAATTAAACAATAAACATTGATTGGGACCACTTGGTTAAGGATATTCGTAGTAGGAAAGTGACAAGAGAAGAAAAGAAAAGAACAATAGTTTACCATTATTTTCTCACTAAAGTTAAGAAAAGCATGTTAGGTAAAATGGTTACTTTTGGGTGGAAACAAGCCCCACGTTGATTGGACAGACAACCAACCAAGGTAAAAGGAATTACATATAAAATAACAACTGACGAAAATGATTCCATTCCCAAACCTCATCTCTTCCTCCAACTCCAACCACAAAAAAAAGTTGCACAAATGGAACAAAAAGCCATCAATTCCTCCTCCGCCGACGACCAAGAACAGCAACACTTTGCTTACGCTGCTCATTTGGTTACCTTATCAGTTTTTCCCTTCACTCTCCAAGCCGCCTTCGAGCTCGGCGTCTTCGAGATCCTGACCAAGGCCGGCCCCGGGGCCGAGCTCTCCGCGGCAGAGATAGCAGCAAAGATAACGGCGACGAACCCGAATGCGGCGTCGATGGTCGATCGGATACTGAGGCTTCTGGCCACGCACTCGGTGGTTGGATGCTCCACGGCGGAGGATGAAGGTGGGAATGTGAAGAGACTCTATAGCCTCACGCCGGTTTCTAAGTATTTCGTTCGTAACGAAGATGGTGTGTCGTTGGGCCCTGTCATGGAGTTGATTCAAGATAAAGTCTTTCTTGATAGCTGGTTTGCATCTTCCAAATGTTTCTATTTACTTGAAATTATTAGACTGATTTGGAATTTTATTATTGTACAACTATGTCCATGTTGGTTAGATCTATTGACGGGAAAGTTGAAATTTGTTAATGTATCTGTAAAAGATTAAATTTATGATAATCCATTAGTTTAAGCTTTTGGTTGAATGGTAATTTAACGTGGTCTTAGAGCGGGAGGGGTGAAGATATCTATAAAAAGTTAAATTTACCATAATTCATTAACATAGTTAAGTTTTTGGGTAGATTTAAGGGCCAGTAGCTATTTTGTTTTATGWTTTTGGTTTTTGGGTCGATCGTGAATTCATGTATCAAATATTTTAAGTGTTATATCCAAAGTTTCAAAATATATTAATAAACAATAATGTATACATCGATTTTTTTTAACAAATTTATTTTCAAAAAAGAAAAACAAATTAACAAATTTTTTAACGTTATWTTTTGTATGGAAGTGCTAAATTGAGAATTTCTATACACGAAAGATAAAATTAAGAATCATAAAACATTAAGGACAAAATTGGGAACATTAATATACTCAACCTAATATTAATGATCAAACTTTCAAACGAAATCATAAATCCTAATCTMTAATGTGGTGTTTATAACGGTTCATTATGTTTTTATAAATTATACCTGATTTGTCGTAATTTCTTTGTATGTTGTTTCCATTTCTTAAAAGTATACATGGTCAATTTTTTGCTAAATTTCAGAAATAAAAACAAAATAAATAGACCCATGGATAGAAGTTGCCTTTCTAGACTTAATTATTCTTTAAAAGAAAATAAAAAACAAAATGATAATTAAAAGTTTAACAAAAAAAAATCAAAATGTGTAGGAGAGAGCTGAAGAATGCAGTCATTGAAGGAGGAGTTGCTTTCAATAGGGCTCATGGTGGAGTACATGCCTTTGAATACCCTGGCCTGGATCCAAGATTTAACAAGGTTTTCAACACTGCAATGATCAATCACACTACCATGGGCATCAAGAAGATTGTTGAGTCCTACAAAGGCTTTGGAAATCTCAACCAACTTGTGGATGTTGGTGGAGGCCTAGGGGTCACTCTTCAAGTCATCACTTCTAAATACCCTTCAATCAAGGGCATCAACTTCGACTTACCTCACGTCATTCGTGATGCCCCGGCCTATCCCGGTACATAGTTCTAGAAAATTTTTAGTTTTAATTTGGTCTCGACAGACTTTTAAGAAGTTTTGTTATTATTCTCATATGTTGACATATATTAGTGGTTTTACGATTTCCTTGTTATTAGTAGAAGCATGAGAAATCAAGTCGAACAGTTGGTTCAGTTAGYTCGATTTTTGGTGTAATTTGGTGGTCTGTTTTAAAGTAACCGAATTGACTCTTCATACCAAAACTTATATTTAAGACTGGTAACCAAAACCATTAACTTAATTGAAAGACATGTTAACAAAAAACCGAACTAGTTAGGTTCAGTTTGGTTTCATTCTCTAGAAAACTAAACTAGTTCAAACTCAAACTAATTTGCATCTTCTCCCCTAGTCATTGATGAAGAGCAATAGAAATCCAAACCCGCAAGTTATGTTGTAGATGTGGTAAATGAGATTTATCATACGTCATTTTCTTCTTCTTTTTTTTAGCCATATATTTAGTAAGGATTTAATGTTTATGATGGAAAAGAAGAAAGGGTATGTTGGGTAAGTCATGTTTTAAATGGGTGAATTTCAAAGTTGAATTCTGTTAAATCTAAGGGTGAGTTGTAAAGCAAGAATTTTAAGAGAGATTTTTGACAATTATGTTGCAGGTGTAGAACATATAGGAGGTGACATGTTTGAGAGCGTTCCAAAGGGAGATGCTATTTTCATGAAGGTTGGTTTTTCTTTATATTTCTTTGTTATCATTTATGTTTTTTTTATGTCTTAATTTTAGTTTTTCATAAACATATTTGTCTGACATTTTTAATTTATCATCTATTACATGGTTTAGAGATGTTCTTAAAATTGTAAAGAATTAATTGAGGAAAAAAGATATTTATTGTTTTTGGAATTTGATTCAATCAGAAAGAATGAATCTAATATTTTACAAAATTCGAGTTACTTCTATGTTGTTAAATAATTGTATTAAAGGGGAAAAATGTATAAAAGAAAGAGATCAAAAATAACTACGGGGCCGTTTGGTAACGTTACTGTTACTTCTTATTTCTTATTTTTGGGAAAATAGATATGTTTGTTAACCCATCCCGTTTCTCGTTTCTAAATTTTGAAAAAATGTTTTAAGAAAAGTTAAATCTAAAGGTTAAATGTTATATATTATGATGTGAACTTTGGTTTGGTATCACCTGCGTAATCTATGTTCTATTAGTATTATCTCTTCGCTTCCAAGGTTCAACCTCCATTGTACACAAATTTTTTTAGTATTTTTTATTTTTAGATTTTATTTTTTTTAGTACATGTGGGTTGAAGTTTCTTTAATGAATTATATTATTTTATTTTAATTATAAATAAAAATGAGTAAACATGAATTAAGAATATATACGAGGTTATGAGTTTGAATCTCATCTCAACAAGAAATGGGAAATAGTTATCGAACATATATTTTCTTTTATTTCCTTTTTTTTCGAGAAACAAGAAATAATATATTTATTTTTCTAATTCTAAACAAATTGAGAAACAACACCTAGAAGTCAATAAACGGAAAATAGAAAATAGTAAACGATTCTCATTTTAAACTAAATAAACAAACAAGGGAAGTTTTTTTTTTTTTTTAATTCCTATTCTCAACTCACAAACTCTAAACCGGTAAAAGTTAATACTATCATTTAATTAATTTTCTTTTAAATTTTTGTGGTCTGCTTTAAGCATTATTGTAGTTAAACTAATAATGTATTTTCCTGATTGGATTTAAGTATTTACGTTACTAGATACGGGTCTTTGCAATATTTGTCTGATCACAAATCGTTTGCCTSTAACTATTCAATATCCTTACAAAAAAATTAATCACATCGGAGCATTTATGCATTCGAATCCATTTTGAATTTGATAAATGCATTGCTTGTATGCGTTGATTCACCCATGTTAACATTACTTTTTTTTCCATGAAAATTGTTATAGTGGATACTTCATGATTGGAGTGATGAACACTGCGTGAAGTTATTGAAGAATTGTTATGCTGCAATTCCAAATGATGGGAAGGTAATTGCAGTGGATGCAGTGGTTCCATTGGTGATCGAGACTACGATTACAATGAAATCCATTACCCAAGGCGATGTGCTTATGATGACTCAAAATCCAGGGGGAAAAGAGCGAACTCGAGATGAATTCAAAGCACTCGCAACCAAAACTGGGTTTAAACGTATCAACTTTGAATGTTTTGTATATAATCTCTGGGTTATAGAGTTCATCAAATGAAACTATAGTTTTTTTTCCCTCCTTTTTCAAAAGAAAAAATGAAACTATGCTTTAATTAATTTTATTTTGGTACAAGAAMCTCTCATATCTCTATTRTATTTTTATTCCACACCTTTCAAACCTTTATTGTAGTTTTTGAACATTGCATAAAAGAAAAGAAGTTATTCTACTCCTTATTGTTAGTTTTCTGATAAATGTTTAATAGAACCATCGTTTGTTTATTTGTTTGTTGAGTAAATATTTGAATTGTACAAGTACTTAAAGATCATAGTGTAGTAGGTAAAGTATCAAGTTTCAAAATATAAWTTTTTTTTTRTTAAAAGATTAATGAAAAATAAACGAGAAAAAACTAAGATTAGTAACTTTTTGTTGCAGTACTTGGAGACTAAAACATAATATTTGACAAAGTTATTGACTAAAATGCACTAATTAAACGTGTATAGATCAAAACAAAAATACGTGTTTGAAAATTACTTTTATTAGTTATTAAAAGTTGGCTGAGATTTTACCAACTATTTCAAAAAACTAGATAACAAAAAGAGACATAGATGAAAGTAGTATTTTTAAGCTTAATTTTAAAAAATCTAAAACTAAAACAAAATGATTTGACAAAAGAATATGAAATCAAAATCAAAATTTTTAGGAGTGAGTTGAAGAATGCAGTTATTGAAGGAGGAGTTGCTTTCAATAGGGCTCATGGTGGAGTACATGCCTTTGAGTACCCTGGCTTAGATACAAGATTTAACAAAGTTTTCAACACTAYAATGCTCAATGAAACCACAATGGGCATTAAGAAGATTGTTGAGTCCTACAAAGACTTTGCAAATCTCAATTAGCAACTAGTCGATGTTGGTGGTGGTCTAGGGGTCACTCTCCAAATCATCRCTTCTAAATACCCTTCGATAGAAGGCATCAACTTCGACTTACCTCACGTCATTCGTGATGTCTCGGCCTATCCCGGTACATAGTTTTCAAAAGTTTTAGTTTTAATTTGATCCCTACAAGTTTTTGAAAAGTTTTGTTATTGTTCTTCCTATGTTGATATTAATACTTATAAGATGTGTTTGTGAGCAGTAGGGGTGTAAGTAATCAAACTAAACTGAACCGAACCGAACCAAGTTTGTTTAATSAGCTTAATTTTTACCGGTGTGGTTCGATTGTCTATTTTAAGTTAACTAGAAGACAAGCTAACGAAAAATCGAACCGATTCGGTTCGATATATCAGTTTCTTTCTCTACAAAACTAAACTGGTTAAATCTTGCATTTTTTCTCTCCAAACTCGAATCGATTTACACTCTTAGTCATTAGTGAGGAGTAATAGATATCTAACCGGGTAACTTATTTGTAGATGTGGCAAATGACATTCATGATAGGTCGAGTAAGGTTAGTTAGAAAAACATGAATTTTGGTAGGGGTTCAATATTTTGATGGAAACGTAGAAAGGGGTGTTGGGTAAATCATGTCTTGAATTGGTGAATTTGAAGGTTTAAAATTGTTATAAATCTGTGTAGCAAAAAATACTTACCGCAAGTGTACGGTCAAGTTTTAATAAAAATGGTAAGTAATTACCGATATCATCCACTGGATTGGTTTTCTAGTCACTCAAATACTACAGATATTAATGTCTAATTTTATCCAGAGAAACAATAAGGGATTTATTTTGAAACACAAAAATCAAATAACAAAGCGATTAAAAGACTCTAAGGAAAACTTTTATGGAGAACGGGTCCTAAGGAAGTGATTTCACCAAAGATCTAGAAAAGCAAACAAATTAAACATGCCAAGATTGAATATGCAATTAATCTATAAGTCAAGAAATTATGAATCATAAATATCTCTCCCGAGCAAAATTAATTCTCCCACTCATTAAGAAACCAATATCCCTATTTAGTTTGATTAACAAGCAAGCCTTAAGTCTTATTATTTTAACAACCTCTAGAGTAATTCTAAATCTCCCAATCTTAGAACTATCCCAGTCATGCATTCAAGTTCCAACCTAAACCACCTCTCCSGAACGTAAGATTCAGATTTAGCATCAATTAACTTGTGATCAAGAGATTAAAGACATTAAGCAAATAAATGCACAAATAGATTAAGTACAAATCAATCAAGACAGCTATTAATAAATCCGACTCATAAATTCAGCGGCTACATCAATCCCTAGGATGAGAAATTTAGGTGCTCATGTTCATGAAAATACAACAAAATCCCACTAAGAATTTCATAATAAATCTAGGAAAGATAAAGGGAAATGAGGGAAACTAAAGTCGTTGTGTCGAATGACCGTCCCTGACTCAATCTCCACGATTACAAGCCTTCCAAAATAGTCTCCTCACCCTCCTTGCGTGAACTCTCAAACAAATTCTCTCAAAACTTCAATTTCTCAATGTAAGGCTGTCCAAAGGTCCCTAAAACGACGTACTAATCTTTTATTTATGAAAGGACATCACTACAGCGCCATGGCGCCATTAGTGAGCGCCATGACGCTGTCCCAGAATTGTGACGAACGCACAAAGTTTGTAGCGCCATGGCGCTACAAGACAGCGTTGCGGTGCTGTCGTCATCGAAAAAGGCTCAAGCTTCGTCTACAGGCGCTGCTTCTTCGGAATTTTGCTCCAAAATTCTGACCTGCAGGCGCGATGGCATTGTATGATGGCACTGCAACGCTGATGTGGCTGAAGTAAGCTCTCCGTTTTACTCTAGTTTTCCTCTCAATTGATCGTTTATGCTCCAATTCTTTCTAATGCCTCGATTCGGTAAAAACATTAGCTATGTACGTAAATAAGCCATAAATAATCGAAAATTACCAAATAATTCCCACCTAAATGTCATGAAATGTGGTTTATAAAGTACACTATCAAAATACCCCCAAAACTTAGCTTTTTGCTTGTCCTCAAGCAAACAAAACTAGTTAATAACCAAAGAATCCAAGCATAAAACTGATATCTAAATCGCGCTGAACATCTCATAACTCAACATATTGACTCCCCTTGCTATACCCTTTCAACTTTTCAATGTCCAAAAATACTGGTAAGTCAATCACGCATCATACGAGATCATTCTAGATGACAATCAAGAGATTAAACAGTGAAACATATAATATTTGGACATATATAAATTGGTAACATAATTCGAACCAACAGTTGTATCATTTATATGTGAACCTTTTATCCTAAAGATATTAATTTCTCATATTACTTTTTATTATGTATCCCTTCTTATGTGAAGAATTTCTGAGTATTTTCTAAGTGCCTAATGAATTTGAAATTAGTACTGGAGAACTAAAATGTTCAAGTTCAACAAATCTAAAACTGCAAAAAAACTCCCATAACTACCACCATTAAGCTTGACAAAGATGAAAAGGATAAATGTGTTTATTTTAAAGCTTTTGAGATATGATATAACCTTACTCATCTTATGCATATAGTTTATCTCTTTAAAGGGAGTAGTTATTTATGAAGTAAGTTTTATATAGAATTGCTTATAATACTTGCCTATTGATTTTTTCTTGCTAATTTTTTTTAGAAAACATCATGATAGAGGGAGCTTTTTAAAACTTGTGCTAAATGTCTTTTTATCCTTTATTAAGGAGGTGTTAAATTGCTTAAAAAACGGAGCTTTCATGTTTCTTATTTATTTTTCTTACTTATTCCTTTTTTATTGATCCCAACAGGGGAGCTAATAAGAAATATGAATGAATATGTGATAAATTAAAATTTGAATGAATTTCAAGTATGAACTTTGTGGTAATATGTTGGACTTACACTGCAAGAATCTCAAGATTTGGCGACGAAGAAATTTGTCGCTAAAGGTTAGAAAATCGTTGTCAAAAGGTTTTGACGACGACAAAAAGTCGTCGCCGTTGCCCCGTTGCGATAGATCTTTGGTGACAAATTCATTTTCGTCGCCTAAAGTCTATGGCAACGAAAATGATTTCGTCGCCAAAAGCGCCTATGGCGACGAAAAAAATTTCGTCTCCATAGACTTTTGGTGACGAAATTTGAAATTCGTCGCCATAGATAAACATATTTAACAATTTTCTCTGCGTCAATTTTTTTTTAATTCTTATTTTCTCCTCTTTTTTCTTCTTAAACTTTGTCACTAAATATTTCTTTAAAAACTTTAAATTAAACTTCATAAACATGCATTCAAAAATATCATATAAACTTTGATTTATATTAAACAACAAATAATTTTTATAATCGGTATAGTATAGAAAATCAAATACATAATAAAAGCTAAATTTCGACTAAAAGTAAATCTAAACCTAATATAAAAATCATCATCTTCTTGGCTTCATGAAATCTCCTCTAATTTCCAAAGTTTACGAGAAGAAAAATCAAAACAACCTGAAAAACAGAATTAAAGACATGAAAATTTAATACAAGAATCCATTAACCAATTATTTTATCTTCACAAAGTAAGAAAATAAGTTAGAGACATCAAACAAAGAGAATTAAAGACATGAAAACTTAAAAAATGTACAAGAAACGACATTAATTTGAAAACAAACATTTATTAAATTACAAAATGAATGACTAGTTTAAAAATAACATTAATTTGAATTTGAGTGTGTAACAACATAGAGAAAGAGAGGRAACAAGTTTTAGAATTTTACCGACGAAGAACAACGGACAGACACGACAAAGTGAAACAGTGACGATAGTATAGCGGTGGCATCCTATGATTTCAAGATATATACTGAAATTACTTGAAAAAAAAAACAAAAAACAAGTATGGATTAATACCTCATAATAAGTAAAAGAAGAGTGGTGGTGAGGGATGAGAACAAAAGAGAGAGAGGATACATCCACGACCGACGGAGGGAGGGAGAGACAGTGCTGACAGTGGAAAGAGGGAACGGTGACGGTAGAGGCAGTGGAGAGAGGGAGAGGGAGTGGTAAAGGCAGAAGTATGGAATGGTGACGACTGAGGCGGTGGTCGTGAGGGAGGTAGAAGAAGTATTATGGAGAGGGAGGAAGAAAACAAGTAAAAATGAAAGAGAAATGAAAAGGGTTACGTTAAATCGTGATCTATGGTGATGAAAAAAAAATTCATTGTGCAAAACCCTTAATTTCGTCGCCTTAAGTTTCCCCAAAAAAATTGGACAGTAAAAATCSCTCCATTTCTCAAAACTTTTGGCGATGAAACCTTGAATTTGTTGTCAAAAGTATGTTATGGCGACGAATTCACGGTTTCGTCGCCAAAAGTTATGAATAAAAAATCTTAATTTAATCGAAACTTTTGGCGATGAACCCAAATTTTGTTGCCAAAAGTTCCCAAAAAAACACGGGCAGTAAAATTTCCGCCATTTCTCAAAACTTTTTGCGACGAAACCTTGAATCGTTGCCAAAAGTATCTTATGGAGACGAATTCAGGGTTTCGTCGCCAAAAGTTATGAATAAAAAATCTTAATTTAATCAGAACTTTTGGCGACGAACTCAATTTTTGTCACCAAAAGTTCCCCAAGAAAAAAATTGGCGGTAAAATTTCGGCCATTTCTCAAAACTTTTGGCGACGAAACCTTGAATTCATCACCATAGGGTACTTTTGGCGACGACTTTTGAATTTATCGCCAAAAGTTTGTCTAATTTAAAACTTTTTGGCGACGAATTTCAATTTCGTCACCATAGGGTACTTTTGGCGACGAAATTAATTTCGTCGCCAAAAGTACCCTATGGTGACGAAGCTGTAACTCATTGTCAAAAGTTTTGACTACGAATTTTGAAATTAGACACAACTTTTGGTGACGAATTAAAATGTTGTCACCATAGGGTACTTTTGGCGACGAAATTTAATTTTGGTCGTCAAAAGTGCCTCGCCAAAAAGAAAATTTCTTGTAATGTTAATGTTATTATTACTTAATGTCTATAYATTTTTCATTAGTAGTTTGTCAAAAAGCGAGAGATTGTTGGATTTTTAACCCTTAATTTTAGATTAATTAATTTTTTTTATGATAACAAACCTAATTTTTTTCTATTGACAATTTAATTTTAGTGTTTTGAGGTGTCCATAGTGTAATATTCGATATAACSATTCCAACCTCTCTTGAATCAATTATCAGAGATCTAACAAATAAGTTATGATCGAAACAAGTTCAAAAGAAATATATTCGTAGCAGATGAGGTGACGATTAARTAATCTCAATGGATCAATTAGAAAACCACAAGTGATTAATGTGCTATTAGGAAAAAAAAGAGAAAATAAAAAGAAATGAAATGAAAAATAAATGGTGAAMAAAAAGTCAAATCATTTAATGAGGGGTGACATGACGATTTAAAAAAATAATAAATAAATAAAAACAAAAATGATAAAATGAGTACACTACACATTGGAGAGAAGTATTATGTATATATTTTATTATTTATTGATTTCTTTTAAAAATTAAATCTCCAYCTTTAATTTTCTTTTACAAAAATACAATGACCTAAATTATTTTTTATTTCAAATTTTTTCCTTCCAATTTAAATAACTATTCCCCCAAAATCAAACAACTTTTTTTCTCAACAATAATTTCCTCTTCATTTTCTCTTCAATCTCTTCCATAGTTAATCTCTATCCAAAGTTTGAATTTTTGTTATAATTTGGTGAGGGAGTTCTATTTTGAAGATATTGTGCTTCCAATTTTATTTTTTCTAGTCATTTGAAGACTTTATTTTGTAAGAGTTTGTAAGCTTGTTGTTTCAATTCCAAATCTTATAAAAGTTGTTCTTGARCTCGAAAAAGAGCGTTGTAACCGTTTAATCTTGAACCGTGGAAGGATCAAGTTTATTCTTGCTCCTGGAAAAATAACATTGTTCCAGTTGACTCTAAACCATGGAAAGAATCAGGTTCTTGAATCCAATATCCAAGAGGCGCTTGAGGGGTGGAGTAGGCGATTTTTGCTGAACCATTATAAATTTTTTGTGTCATTTTTTCTTAAACCCTTTTCTATTTAATTTTTGAAATTAATTTTTCCTTATCATAAATTGCATAAAATTTGTTCTTGGCAATATTTACATTAGAATTAGTTAGGGTGCTTGAAATGTATTTCTACTTTATTAATTAATTTGTATTAAAATTATTTATYGGTAAAARAAGTATACTTATTTATTTAAATTAGGTCTACTGGAATGTGTGTGATGATGCCTTCACTCACATGTASTTTGTCCTTAAAAAAAAAAAAAAAAAGTTCCTCGTGGGAGGAGCAATTATGGGAAGACAGTGAACTGTGCAGTGTTATTCTTTTTCTCTCTCTTTTTCCTAATTTACAAAAACGCACAATAAAAGCGAGTGAATATGTTTATTTATATATATATTTATATTATTTACGACTGAAAAGTAAGATATATATTTTATTTGTTTTATGGGTGAGTGGTCAAGTTTACAGGCTCACAACTCCATTTGTTAAATTTAATACCWARKTTTWRRAAAWKRMC